GTAAAGATGCGTGGAAAGGAAACGCGATAGCTGTACCTGGACCAATGGCCGCTGTTCCAATGGAGTCGTGGATGCGAACAAGAGCGAGCGCAAAGCCAACTGTTCTTGTTAGTGATGACGGTGTTTCGTTGCCATCTAGAGAAAATGTCTCGAGAGTTGATGTAGAGGTGTGCGCTTTGAGTATCGAACAGACTAACCACGGAGCCCCAACTTTAACGGGCGGTTTGCCAGTCACGTCGGGTAAAGACGAACTGATGAATTTGTCTGTCAAGGTGCTAACCACAAACACAACCACGTCAAGTTCGTTAGCTCTAGAACGTGAGCAATTGGAGAAACGCAGAAAGCAGCTTGACACTGCAAATGCCGTGGCAGCAATGAATACCAGATTAAGTCAGCTAGGCCTTCTGAAATCTGTCACAAAAGCGACTTCTACGCAGGTAAAATTTAAATTCCCTTCACCTGTTAAACAACAGCAAGATTCAGAAACCTCCGAAGCCAGTAAATCCCCAGAATGTCAAGCTGGGAATTCTGCTATCTCGGACCGCGACGGTAGCAGCTCGAAGTCTTCTCAAATGGAGAAACTCACATCCTCCAACAGTGACGCTGAGAGCCTTCCAGCTCAAGAGGCTTTGCACGCTATCCCTGACACTAATACCGACAGATCACCTGAGGCGGTAAAATTTATTGTCTCTAGCGGCGATACTGACGAGTCGACACCAGCTCAAGCAAATAAACCAGACCCCAGTAGCGAAGATGCCGGCAAACTCACTGATGATTTGGTATCTAAAGCACTGCGGAAACTGAACGATGAAGAACACTCACCCCCATTCCCAGTAGGTGTGGGCGTGGCTGACTCGTTGAGTGTGCATATTAATGGATACGGTTCTCATGGCAAGAATAGTGACGATAAGTGTGATGAAGGAAAGACCCAGCTGAATGCCGTACCACAAGTGGAGGTTGATGTGTCCTTGAGCTCGTTTACAAGTGGATTTGTGGCCCCCAGTGGGAGTTCTCATGAGGTTGCCACGGAAAAAATTGCTTTGAGTGAACCGGTTGCATCGTCCTTGAGCGTATTCACGGCGGGATACCAAGCGGAGACGGAAATATCACACTCTGATGCCCTGTCAGTCGTTAAACCAAACGACTCCGTAGCTATAGTTGAAGACCCGCGGCAAATTCCAGTCGATGTGTCGTTGAGTACATTTACCAGCGGGTATGACACGGTGAAAGAAAATGTGACTAAGAGAATCAGTGACACGAAAGAAGGTGTACGACCACCGACTGTGGCATCGGGTGCGTTTAATCCTAAGTATTTAAGTCGATTCGAGCGCTAACTACTAACAAATGGCGAGGCACGTACAGATGATACTCAGGAGTCAGCTGCAGCGGAAATCTTAGCGTGAGAACAAACTTAATGCAGGAGCAAAATCTGTTGCTTGTGACTGACAGTATTGTAACTAATGTGCGTGTTTCAGCAATTTGTGCCAGCCACTGGACGATGCTGCAAACAGTTTAGGTAAGATGACGTCAGGTCAAGAACACATTACAAGTACTCCAAACTTGCTGGAGATCCAGAATCTCATCAAGACATTGCGATCGGCCATCACCGCCACGTTGAAGAATTGAAAATGTGAAATATCGCCAATGTAATGTATTGATCTGTCGAGAATGCTTTATGAACCCTTCATAATCTGCAAGGGCACGTGTGCGCTTGTGCGCTTGTTCACATTGGTTAAACAGACCACCACCAACATTTCTTGAGTAATTCACCCGCTTGATTCCAGGTTCAATTATTGAAGATCATTTCTCCTAACAAGCCCATTCGCAAAAATCTGCACAGTTCCTACTCCTCGTGAGCTCTCGGCTGAGTGCCTGTTCTCGAGGATTTACTCCCTCTTGTCCAAGCGCACCTCAATCAGTCGGCCTTCTATTTCCAAACCGTTCAAGCGCTCTGGGAAGCAATAAAACAAGTGAATCCTTTATTAGTGTACCGTACAAATCATAGCAGCACGATAAATAACTTACCGATAGCTTGCCAAGCGTCAGAAGCGTTCGTGTAGCGAATGATACCGAAGCCACGCGAGCGTCCGTCGGGGTATTCCGCAATGTCGGCACGCTCCACATCGCCCACAGTTCGGAACAAGTCCTTCAGCTGCTGCCAGTTCGTGTCCCACGGGAGCTATGCAAGAAAAAATAAATTACGGGCACTTAGAACAATAGATCCAACGAAAGTTATCTCAATATGACGAAGACTCACGTTGCCGACGTAAAGCTGGCGACCTTCACCGCTTCCACGAGGAGCAGCGGCGCGCTTAGCGAACTTCGAGATGCTTCCACCTTCAGGTTCCCGGTCCTCGCGGACGAAGATCAGACGACCTTCCAGCTCGGTGTTGTTCAGCTCCGCAATGGCCTTCGCGGCCTCCTCCTCGGTGGCGTATTCCACTAAACCGCAGCCCTTCGAGCGACCATTAGCCAGTTCCAGCACTGGTCAGCAACATTGAAATAATCAGTTACTGTAAAGTCCACAATAATGAGAACATTTAGCTTTACCGTCGGCATGTACCACCGTGCCCGCCTTCTTCATGTGGTCCTTGAGTTCCTGCCACTTGACGTTCCACGACAGATTGCCCACATACACGCGGAAGCCACGCTTGGGCTTAGCAGTCGAGGTCGGCTGCGCCTCGCGGTCTTCACGAACGAAGATCTTACGACCGCCCAGCTCCGTGTCATTGAGCGTGGCAATGGCATTCTGAGCTGCCTCCTCCGTCGCGTACGTGACGATACCGCAGCCCTACAATGCGCAGTATTATCATCAATATTGATCGTTTACACAACAACCCCGTGTCCATCGCACCTTTGAGCGGCCATTCCACTCCAGCACCGTAGCAAGCTCCACGGGCCCTGCTGCCTGCATATGGTCCTTCAGGTCCTGCCACTTGATGCTCCAGGACAAGTTGCCCACGTACACGCGGCAGCCCACAGACGACGTCTGCTCGATCTCCACGTCCTCATCGCCGCCTACACAACCCCAAAAACTTTCCCCCTCAATTTTCCGTCCTCCGCGGTACGTCCTCCTCTGTCGTCGTACCGTGACGAACATGTCGGGACTGGTACGGACTCGACTGCGCGATACGCTCGGCGCGTTTCCTGCCCAACAGCGCAGCACCCATCAGTCTCCACCCCACCACAGAGCCACGTCACTCCTCCACCCACGTGCTCTTGGCCTTGCCGCCGGTGGCGCTGGCATTGGCAGTCGCTGCTGCGTCCGCCTTACGCTCCTGCACAATCTCGTCCAGCGACATCTCCAGCTTCTTCTCCGTGTCGTCCGACGCCATTGCTGCGATACCTTCCTCTCAAAAAAATGCCAACTGACGCGAATCAGGCCGTGACGTTGGCATAGTGGACGCAAGTAAATCGGTTTAGACAGGAAGATCGGCAACGGCGCATGTACTGATTGGACCAAAAGGTCCGCCGTCGGAAAACAGGTGATTGGCTGATACAACCTCAGAACATACGGATATTGACAAAAAAGGCAAAATCAGAGCATACGCAAAACGTCACGACTTCAACTTGAAGCTTGAATTCCGCGTTACGATGACTCAGCACAGAAAATCGATGATGATATCTCGGACGCCCTGGGGGAGCTCTACTTGGTTGCTCAGTCGTTCTGTTAATAGCTTCACACGTTGTTGGTTAGCTTCAAGGAATTCAGTGGCTCGATACGCTGTTCAAACAAAGCAATAAACCACGCGCACTTACACTGTTAGTTTAGGAAACTTAATTAAGCTCTTGATAGTTTTTTATCCCACTTACCTGCAAGCATGTCAAGAATGTCCAAGCGCTGCCAATCCCGAGCAACGTCAATCGGTGTGGCTCCGAAGTCGTCCGCCACGAAGGGGTCAACTCTTGAATTAAGCAATAGCTGAACGAGACCGACGTGACCATTTCGACAAGCACAATGCAGTGAAGTTTGGCCCTAGACACACAAAGCGACTCGCATAAGTATTCAACGATACTCCAATCGGCTGCAATATTTACATCGTCATCGCGTAAGCTGAGGCTTGCTTGATGAGCCAGTAGCAGCCGTGCAGCTTCAAATCGACCCCAGGTACAAGCTGAATGCAGCGCAGTTTTGCCCTGGCGGTCAAACAGCGAATCATCTCTTAGCAGGTTACTGGAGACATTTACGTAAGCGCAATGACTAGATCGTACGTCTCGTTGTTGCTGATCCACGTTGGCCCCACTTTCTAGAAGCAGCTCGAGCACTTCAAGACTCTCGTTCTGAGCAGCCATATACAGCGCGTGACTGCCTTCTTTGTCCAACTCGTTTATATTCAGCTTCTTCGTGATCCTATACAGTAGTGATTGCCATCAATGGAACCGCGCATCAAAACTATTGTAGAGTCAAGAGCAAGATCACCAACCAACGTCTCACAACTTCCACTTGGTTGAGTGAAGCTGCGTATACGAAGGCATCTCGTGGTTTGTAAATCGCTTCCGCAAGGAAATCTACGTGAAAGGACTACCAGACATGTCAGCACATTAGCGCTGCGTATGTGCATCACTCTCATCCACGACTAGCACCAGAACCCTGACCTTGGCGGGTGCATCAAACCTTGTCCACATGGTTATAGCTAGAGCTGTCGACGTCGAGGGGGACGTCTTTTCGAACAGTCGTAAGCTGTAATGAACTTATAGAACGTTCGATGAAAATGTCGCTTGCCGTTGGATGGCATTCAGACGAAAATAACCCATTAAAATTTTAATGGCTTTTTTTCGTCTGAATGCCATCCCGGCCAATGGTTTATTTGGGTTATTCAGAACCCAAATCAAAATAGTCCAATTTTGGGTCGTAATAATATTTACTTGGATGGCATTCAGACGAAAATAACCCATTAAAATTTTAATGGCTTTTTTTCGTCTGAATGCCATCCCGGCCAATCAGATCTCTCGAAATATTTTTTTCCATTCCCATTTTAAGTGTTGGCTGACAGTTCTCTTCAAATGTTTTCCCGATCTAAATTGCTAACTAAAAATTTGTAACGATATTTAAGAAAGGGTCTTTTATTCGAGATATTTATCATCCGCTCTAGTAGCCTTTTAAAACCCTAGCATACCCTATCGGAAATGGCGCCTTCAGAAAATGCGTCACTGTTCCACGGTCTCAAGTTCTTCCTCACGCGCACGCTCTCTCGTGATGACGTCGCTGAGCTGCAGCGTCTGATCGAACTGCACGGCGGCATCGTTTCCTCATCACCCGCAGGTGCCACTGAGCTTGTAGACTACGACAGACTGGATTCGCGGCGCCCCGAGTGGGTCTCCTTCGACTTCATCAAGGACTCGGTGGTCTCGAAGAGGCTACAAAACCCAGCAAAATACTCGGGTGTTGTGTTTAGCTCCAATCCTATTCAGCTGCATATCACGGGTCGAGTTCGATACTCCGTGGAGGACGATGCGCGGCTGCTGCTCTTCGCTAAGTCACGCGGCTGGCAGTCTTTGAAGCCGATGCCGGCCAGTGCCTGGAAAGTAGCCGAGAACCAGCACGTGACGAATCACACGTGGCAGAGCATGCACGAGCATTTCAAGAAGCAGCTGCAGAACAAGACACTTAAGGAACAGCGCGCTATAATGGCAAACGCCTCGGTAGGTGACCACGAAAGATGCTGGTGGCATTACCAATCACTGACGCTTCGAATGAATAATACAGGAGATTATTCGAGCGCGACTGCAACAGCAAGAGGATCAAAAAGAGAGAGAACAGGCAACGAGGACATCGCCGTCTACTACAGCTCCAGAGTCTCCCAAGCCAACTACGCCAGCTTCTAAAGGATCTAAAGGATCTAAAGGACCTAAAGGATCTAAAGGACCTGATCGAGGAGCTCCATCTACGCCGGCAACGAGCTCACCACTGCGTCGCCAAATTAGAGAAAAAGCGCGACAGAAGCGCAAGCGAACGTCAAGTCCAGTCAACGTGGAAGAAGGGAAAGACAACGAAGGCCATGGCGACATAACAAGTGGAGCTGTATACTTCAGAAGTGTGTCTGCAGAGATGACAGCAGATCCAAGTAAGCTACAGGCGCTGTTTCACACCTCCATGATGGAAGGTTCTCGTCGGAGACAAGAAAATAACAGTGAATCCGCGGCCAGTGACTCGCGTGAAAGTGAAGAACCAGAAATTCTAGCGCAAGATAGCAGCAATATTCGGACTGAACAACAGACGAGTGAGGTGGATGTGCAACGCGCGACGGAGACAGAAACCGATGAGATTATTTGCCGACTCCAGCTTGAGACGAATCAACCGACACCTGTTGTTGTGCATACTCTGTATAGCTGCAGCGGAGATGCTGGCATGGCGAGAGCTTTTCTGAAAGGAGCTTCGCCTTCGGGCATGTGGTCGCCCGAAGATGATTTACTGCTTGTGAACTTGATCGTCGATGAGAATATTGATCGCTCAGCTGTGGATGCGGCTGTGGCTCGCGGAGATTTTGCGTCTATGCAAGTACCACGCGACACAAGTGCCATTTTGGATCGGGTTCGGTTTTTGCGGTGATGCATCGTAGCTATGCAAGCAAAATGGCGTTGTGAGATCATGAAAGACCACATAGTATTACAGTGGGTTCGCTTGGCACTACATGTACGCGGGGCCATGTAATAACTCCTCCAGTGCCTTAAAAAATCGTCTCCGTGCCTAAACACAATGAGAATCAGCTCATTATCCAGTGTTGACAAGAAAAATAAGGCAGCGGAACGTACCATGAACCCCCTGACATATTTCTGCATGCAGATAACAGAGCGTTGAACCTGCAAATATACTTGCAATGCATCAGGTTTTGGCGGATCGTGCGGGGTCGTTTGTTGTGGTAGCGGTTCAGCGGGTAATGAAGAAGCTGGCGTTGATACCATCGAAGGTTCATTCTCCGTGTGTTCCAGGCTGCTTTGCTCGGGTTTTTGACTCGGGTGAGCTGTCATTATTGCGATTTCTGCTGGCCGAGTAGGAGAAGTTTGTGCGTGGACCACGGGTATATCGACTTCAGCGGGGGTACGAAGAGCGACAGATAGCTGGATGTCTGGCACTGTAGTTGGAGCTACTGCAGACGCCAATATGCGTGATGCAACGCTGGGCTTGTCAGCTTCTTTGGATTGATTAGCGTCGGAACTTTTCGGTAATACTTGCTGAATATGCCTGTTGACCAACTCATGATGAGATTCCACTGAGTTCGCGATTTCTCAATGCAAGAATTCCCGTACAATGGTGATAGTGGTGGTTCAATGCGATTGCAGATGGTTGAGGGCATTGGACTGGAGCAGTTTTGTTCTACAGCAGCAATGTGCATTTGTAAACGTATAGTTTTTTTGTGTTTTGCAAAAGTTCCATACGTACGCTTTTGGACTCGTTCGCGGTCTTCAAGGAACCACCTAAAGACGAAGAAGATGTATTTCGTGAGTGCCATAGAGCTAAGCACTGTTTGACCCTTGCGGCACCTTACCTGACCAGCTTCTGAGATAAAGCAAAAAGCATTTGGAGCTTTTCCTACGTTTCAGATATCCATAAGATTATTAGTGTTTAATCAGGTTTCAAAACTTTAAGCTCCTCTCACCGCCGACGTTGCTGGTTGCGGCTGAAGGAGCATCACCTTTCTCGCATAGTCCTACAAGCACAACGAGTCAAGAGTAAGTGGTTGACTCGACTATTTGACAAGTATGACTGCATTTCTTGACCAGAACAACTTCAGTGTCGAGCGTGCTTAGATCCACTTGGGCAAGTGAGGTCATTGAGGCCGAACGTGATCGTCGCAAGGGCGGCATCATGGAAGCGGAGCGAGCGATCGGCATGGCAATATTTGTCAGAGTGCGAACGGCATCGAACAGGAATCCACTGCCTTGTTGCTAATTATATCAAGAAGCCCTATGATTCTGATCAGGAATCGAATTTAGGTTATATAATTGGTAGGAATGAAAAATCTCTGAAGGCATCAATACGTGCAAACGACGCTGCTAGTGTCTAACACTTGTGGTGTTGACATGAGCATTACATGTTCGAATTAATGTTAATGGGAATAGGTCTGCGAGCATACTTCTTGTTGCGGGAACCTTCAATACGAGGATGAATGGGCGGTCTGGCAGCATCTCCTCTGATTGTAGACCCAAAACCAGTAGCGTCCCCCAGTCGAGGTGTATTCGGCGTTTTCTGCCAACACAAGCAGCAGATAATCCAAAGTCAGCGTTTGGAAACTCTCAGTATTTCACTCCGTCCACACTTACCGGTTCGTGTCGATCACTCTCCTTCGTCACCAATTGGTACTGCAATGGCGGAAGTCTGACACCATACTCGTTCGAGATTGGTGGTAGTGGAATACTATTGCGCTTGTCCGCCAGCTCCATCATCAGCTACCACACAGACAAAAGTAAGTCTCCAATACATGTACCAAAACAAAAGCTATACCCACTTCCCGGGGCGGCACTTGGGCGTAGTGGTGGTTCAATCTCGACGAAATAGCCAGCCGAATATCATCAGGGTCGATTGTCTGCATCAATAACAAGAAATGGAAGAATTACGCTTCGTATCGAAGACATAAGATTGGGAGCTTGGTGTTGTGTCACCCACCTGCTTGTCCGCGTACATGGAGTACTCCTGGGCGTCCACGAGGATCTCTGTCACGTAGCCTGTATCACAGCAATCATAAATAATGTCAATATAGATTACCTTTCCAAAAATTAATTGTAACAGTATGACACACGGTGAACGAATTCCTGGAGCTGCGCCACGACGCGTGGCTCAAATTTGTCGGCGCCCATGGACTCTAGTAACTGCTGCATGGATATTACGTCCAGAGGCTGCACGTTCGCCCCCTCATCGCGCTCGTGAGCGTCTCCGTCGTCCTCATGGAGGCGCTTAGTGCCCTTGGAGTCGCTGCCCATTCGAAAAGTGGAAATGCCACAAACAAACGCCACATTTTATTTTCGTACTTTACAGAGATGGCTATATCTAGCTAGTGGCAATGCCACTGTGGCATGGTTAACATTACTAGAAGTTTGTATGAAGTGTAGCAGCCAATAGAATTCAACTTGCCAATTTTAAACCAATCATTCGACTTTATCAATGAAATTTTGTCCAATAGTATACCAGGAAAATGGCAAGTCATGTACGCCAGCCGTTCCGACGTATCGTGTCGGAATGTCCCGCAACATATCTATACCTCCTCGTAATAAGCAAGTGAAAAGCATATCACTTGCATATCTGCCACCTATCCGACAGGAGGCATGGGCTTGGAGGAGTTAGCCCCCGTAAACACAAAGCGTGCCAAAGCAACCGCCGTGGCGGCGTTCATGCGCTTTTTGAAAGCTGAGGGTGTGACAGAGGAGTATGTGCGTGCATGTATTGAGCGTGATGAGAGTGGGAAGTGTTTTGTGTCCGTCATGGACAAGTTTGGTATGCATCTTGCGTTTAGTGAGGGCAAAAAAGGTAAGCCGTTAACTCGAAACACTTCGATGCAGTACTACAGGCAAGCCAAGATTTGGCTCCTCGACCAGTTTACTCAGCACCGAGCTTCCTTGGAAACTCGTCTGCTCAAAATGGGGAAGACTCTAGATAGTTTTTGTATGAAGCGTGACGGTGGTGGCATCATCAGCATGGCACCACCATGCACAAAGGTTGACTTAAAACGACTGCTTGTGTATTTGTACGTTAATGCTAGCTGCTCAAGCGACTACCAAGACGCCGCGCTGCTGTGTCTGCTTTGGCATCTCTTCGGAAGAGTCTCAGACCTCGCGTTCCTGAGGAAGCCCAACGTATCCATCGATGCTGGAAACGTGCTCTTCGTTCGCTTCATCAGGATGAAGACTTCCGAGGAGAGGCTTGTCACTCTTCGCTGGGACAGAGTTTGAAAGTGCCCGATGCTTGCCATGGCGCTTGCTCTGCTGATGCAGACCCCAAGGGTCATTGACAACCTTCCGGAAACGCCCGACCAAGCTGCGATCTCTCTTTCTCCTGACGTGCCGCTCCTGGAGATGCTCGACCACCCTGCAGACACGAACGGGCTTGGAGCGCCGTCAACAACTGGTGTGGCGACGACACCTACGGTCTACTCCCGCCCCGAGTGGGTCTCCTTCGACTTCATCAAGG